CTTCTCCAAGTAAAACACACTGGTGATTCCACATCATATAGTAGCATTCTTTGATGCAAGTCTGGTGTTGGATGCATTCTCACTTTTTACAGAGCCAAATTATCTTGTTTTATATTCCCAATTCTAAAAAAAAAAAAAAATGTTAGCTAGAGAGAAGACTATGGTTGGTGGAACATGGGAAAATGGTTTCAAAATATGAAAAAAAAAGCCACCTCTAAAAATAAGTTTAGAATGACATGAAACGTCTCTAGTGAAAATTGTTGAAGTCATAATATTAAAGTTTGACTATGGTGCAATCTCTCCTTCCCCTTCATTGAGCACAGCTTCAAAACGAGTGAAGGTCCTAAACTTTGCTAATTTGTTAATGCATTAATAAGTGTTTACTGAGCTCCGATGCTGCACAAGGCCAGGAACCGGGCAGTTCTAGCATTTGCAATTGTCTTTGCAGGTGGAGATAGGGAAGAAAGGTGCTCAAGATTCTAGTGACAACTGCTATTCTTCTAGGACATGTTTCAAAGAGATGCAGGGAGTCACATCTCTATATTTCTAAATACTAATAAAAACAAGAAGGTGGGTGGTGTTTAGGATAAAGTGTAGTCCATCACATTTGAAACTCAAGAAATGAAAGTTTGGGCTATTCAAGAGAGATGAAACAGCGCTGGCCCAGGGAAACTTTGCCATGATGTGGCAACAGGGATTCAGCGAGCATTACAACTTATAGGGGAAAACACGAAGAGGCATCTCTTGAATACGTTTCTTTTCTGACCTTGTCAAGTTGCCAGCTTCAACTAATTTTCTCCTTGTGGTTTATACCTTACGCAGGTTCCCAAGGCAGAACTCACCCTTCAGCACAGCAGATTTCCCATCACAACTTCTCAGTGAGAATGAACTGACAAAGGAGTGCTGGTTCTTGGGTTAGCTGACCCACACGGAGTCAGATAATGGGCTTTGTTCTTTCAAAGTTGTTCTAGCTCATAGATGCAATTGCAATGTTTTCTGAAGGGAATTCCCAGCATCACAGATGATACTTTTTTAAAAGACTGATCAACACACACACACCCAAATAACCAAAAGGCAAATCAAGTCATTTAAAGCAGATAAAAATGGTAAATGGGATATGATAAAAATCTCAAACTTGAACCAAAACAAAATGCATTAGTTGTCTGGGCACATTTTAAAGAAGCCATGACTGTTGTGCTTATGTGTGTGTCGCTCACACATGTATGTGCACAACACAGAACAGTGAGAATCAGCTTGATTTATTTCTTATCCTTACAAGAGGTATATGATGCCGTGAAGTTAGGGGGCTTTTCCTAAGTCAAGAAAGTAAAATTAGCCTATTCCATCTGTGAACGTCAACAGCACCCAACACAAACATAGAACCGCATTCTCTCCCATTTCACTGAATCACTTGGCCACAAATACAAAAGGATGGAAACCATTAGGAACAACAGCAGTGTGGGACCTTACGCCGCATCCACAATGGAAAGGCTACTCTGATTATACATGTTCTCCGATTTGCTGAACCCCAATCTTTGCTGATAGACCAGAAAACTGTGGTAGCACGTATGTCTTGCGAGTTTTGGATTTTGCATGGAAAATTTGCTCAAATCGAAATGCTCATCAAGCCTTCAGGTGTGGCAACTCAAGGAGAAAAAAGAATGAAGATGACTGCTTTGTACTGCCTTGTCCTCGAAACCACTAATGGACTTACAAAACCAGCACTCTAACTTTTCAATATGTGCAAGTTCCTTCCTTCACCAATACACAATGAAAGGAACATGAAAAGCAATACCAATTAGTAGCATTTCTCTAGCACAATGATTCTATCATTCATTTTTGGAATGCCCTTGCTTTGCTCCCGCAGTATGATCCTCTGGGCTAACTTTGACCTATGTGTAGTTTCCAGGCTGTGTTACCTTATGAGTTTATTCACCCAACAATCTTACAAAAGCTGTTGCAAGCAGTCTCTCCAACCCTGCTGAGCAAGTTTTACAGATTCCTTGTTTGTTTATTTTTTTTTATATATTGATCATCCTGGTAAATTGAAGGGTTGCTATAGTTAAATACTTTCTTCATCACGATTCTACACAACACCTAGGTTAAGTTATTTTCCGCGGGAAAGGTCTTCCTCCCCTTCAGAACTGACATGTGTAAGCAGGCAAATAGAGCTGCTATTTTAGTGTGGGCTGCCGAGAAAATTGTCTGCTCTTCAGCTGCATTCGAGCAGCTTCAAGAACTTGAGAAAAGCATCACGGACACCGGCAATGAAACCAGAAAATGCTAGTCGTGGGTGCAGAACCGAGCCTACGTGCAGGCTAGAGGACTTCCAAAGACTATAAATGATAAAGCAGAAGCACTGAGTCCTATCGGCAATCACACTTGGATATACAGGATCCAATTCACAGGGCAGGAGGATGAAAACCTCTGAATGCCAGTACTGCAGCACCGATCTCAGAGACCAACAGCCAGTGCCTTTTAAGGACTTGGCCCATTTGAAACGGTCAGAGGCTACCCCGACCCCCATTTGGGGATCTCAGCAACATTTAACCTCCAATGGACAGCCCTGAAGGAAGCAATTCTCAGACTTTCTGGAAAGGTTTCTCTCTGTGTTCGGAGCAGATGTTCTGGAACTCCTTGCCCCTTTTTAAGATTCTACCCCGCCTCCCCCCCAAAAAAACATAAATAATCGAAGGCCATTTAAAACCCTGTAACTGCTCCAGCATGAAACGACTTGACACAGAGCTTCAGATCCACAGCGGATCATAGGGTATTATCATCAGCATTACTGTTTCATAAGGGGGACAGCCTTAGAATTGCTCTCAGCAACAGAACTCAGAGAAGTGGAAAGATAGGACTGGACACGATGATTATAGAGAACTCCCTTTGAGGAAAAAAATGAGAGCATTCTTCAAAGATACCAGTCCCCATGGTAGAATAATTCATTCTCTCCGTGTCTCTCTCTCTCTCTCTCTCTCTCTCACACACACACACACACACACACACACTCCTACACGGGAAATCCTTGCAAAACTGGGCACCGCTGAGGAAAGAGGAAAGCCAGGAACCAACCAGCAGGAATCTGTAGGATGTTTAGCATCAAGGACAGGGCTCATTTTACATGCAGTGAGGTACAACCGCAAGCTTGAATGGATGGAAAAATCCCACTTCTCAAAGCCGGCAGAAACGTCTCTTTTCCTCCGTATAGTTTTCCAGTTGAAAAGCTCTCCTAATGAAGCTGGAAGTGACAGCCCGCCAGGGTTTTCCAGCACGGAGGTAACTGCCAGAAGCATGGCAAAGGGGACAGAAGCTTCAGGCGTCCCCCACCCCTCTCTCCGCCCTCCCCCAGCTCTCTACCCGATGCAAAAGGACACCAAGCTCGAACTCACTGGCCAGTGTCCCCTCTTTCATGTCCGCCCACACGTACCCAGAAACCAGGCGGAACCCAGCAGCCGGCTGGGCGCACCAGCAGCTGGGGAGCGCTAAGGGCTAGCCAGCTCCTGCCTCAAGAGGAAACTCCTGGAATCTTCAGGAAAGGGTGGCAAAGTTGAAAGGGCCATTTCTCCCTCCAGCTCGCTGGGTTAGCAGCTCTCTCTCTTGCATTGAAGCTTAAGTGGGCAGTTGCCAACCTGAATATTATATACATAGTTTTGTAATGCAGACTAATGTGCGTGTACAGCAGTAGACAACTAATGCTGTCTGATTTCTTAACATTTCAGCAATCCCGGCAAGCAACTGCCAGCCCAGCTCACGGAGGCCAAGGGCTCCGTCCTGGACCTGTCACGGGCTCCGTGCCCACGGGGAAGGGCAAACGACGAGGGAAAGTTAGATTTCTGCCCAACTAGGTAGAGTAGGGTGAGTGGAGAGCGAAGACCCGGGGGGTGGGGCGGGAGAGGGGGAGGCAAAAAGCAAAAGCAGAAGAAATGGTGGATACCTGTTGGCATCGGCGTTGGCGGCAATACATTCTCACCGGGTCCCAGCCTTGGCTGGAGCCTGGCAAAACCGGAGAGGGTCCCATAGGGAACCCGTTAGGCGCTGGCAGGACCCACACCGGAGCCCCTCGAGCCTCCTCCGACGCGGTGAGGGGCGCGGCCCGCACATCCCCGCACGGCTTGGGCAGGTGGGGGAGCGGTGGGTTGCAAAAAAGCGCAGTTCCGGGCTCTGCGGACTCCGGGAGAGCGGCGACGCGGGAGTTTGGTGCTTCCGGGGCTTCCGGGAGCGCAGTCTCGCGGGCAGCGGAGACTCTGCCTGAATGTGCCAGGGCTGGAGGGGCAAGGTCCCAGCCGGGTGCCCCGCAGTGTTTTGAGCCAGGGCAGAGCCGCCGGGCGTCTCGGGGCGCCTCGGCCAAGTTTGCAGCCGGAACCGCGCCTTCCGCCTTCCGGGCTTTGGAGCAGCCACTTGTGGGAAAACCCTGCGCGGGGGTCTCTGGCGGCGGTGCTGCGGCCCACACAGCCCCACAGTGAGGGTCGCCCTTCCTCGCCTCAGAGGGGGCGGAGGAGCTGGGGAACAGCAGAGACTGGCGGGGGTCTCCTGCGCCCCGCCGCCTCCTTTGCCTCCCGGGCTCGCGCCCTCCGCACCACCGGCGGCGGGTGCTTCCCATTCACCGCACGGACCCCGCAGCCGAGGCGCGCGTCTGCAGCGGCGCCTGCCTGTGTCCGGGAAGCGGCGCGTTCGCCCAGCAACGCCGAGAAGGGAGACCGGCAGGAAAACTGGAAGGGACCTAGCCTGGGGCTTGCCGCTCCTCAGAATCTGCTATCAGGTCAGTTGGGGAAAAAAGAAAAAAAAAATTCTTCAGAGCAACCGCCTCCCCTCTCCCAGGTCGTGCTTGTTTATGGAGAAGTCAGCCAGGCGCCTGTGCTAGGATCCCGCACCCCCCTCCGGCTGGGAAAAGAGGTGCGCGCAAGGTGTCCGGAGGGGAACAGGAATTCCTCAAAGGCTCAATCCCTACCGAGGTTTCTGAGGCACGAAGGAGAACGTGGGCGGGAAGGAGGAGTACTTACTCTTGCAGGTCTCGGCACCGGCGAATTCCAAGCTCTCCCTGTTTACAAATGGCTGGTGGGATAGGGGGTCGGCTCCCGAGGGCGGCGTGTGCCGACCGGTGCCCGCGCGCTAGGCAGGCGCCTCCGGGTTCTGTTCATGCCTCTCCGAGCTGCGGGGCTTGGCGCGGAGACGTGCGGCGGGCGCGTCGGGCTCCTGTGTCCGCAGTCTGGAGTGCAGCTCGGTAGGTTGAAGCTACCGTCTATAGCCCAACCCTGCAGCGGCGGCGGAGGAGCTTCTAAGAGGCAGGGAGATTCCAGAGAAATCCACTCATTCCGGGCTGAGCGCTCCGGCGTGCGAGCCCGCCTGCCTGCCAAATGTAACTGTGAAGTGATGTGGAAAAGTGAGCCGGGTGCCTCCCCTGACGGATCTCATTGGGCAGAGCGCAGAGGCAGGTCTACCACTTGGAAATTCATGTAAGCTGCCCCCTCCTCGCCCCCTCCCTGCCTCTCGCGCGCTCGCTCCTCGCTCTCCCGCTCTTCCCCCTACCAAGTGGGCGCACAACTTTCTGCTCCTCGCTCCCGAGCACGCCCCGCGCGTCTCCGTAGTCGAAGCCCCTGGGTGAGGATGCGCCCTTCCCTGCTGTGCGCGCCGTCCGCCGATGGCCCAGCTCCCAGATCAGAAGGAGGGCTGGCAGATGAGAAAGGGAAGCAGACGAGGAAGCTGCAGGCTCTCTCTCTAGCCTCACCTGGACTCCTGAGGTTGCCTTAGCTCACAGGCGTCTCTATAATCCACCCCAGTGTTCCTGCCGGAGGTGGGGGAGGGATGCGACGCGGCGGGGCACAGAGATGCGCGCCAGCAGCTTTATTCCAAGAGCCTTCTGCGCACAGAACGGCGTGACTGCCTGCTACGCTAAGGTGCAGAGGCTGTGCTGTGGTCCTGGGAGGCAGCCAGTATGTCCCTGGTGTCCCGGAGTTTCTACTACAGAGGAAGCTGGGATGAAGAGCAGTAGAGAGGAGCGTGCAGAACGCGGTTGTGGGGAAAAGCAGAACTTATTTGGCCAAGGGTGGCTTTGCTTGATGTTCATGTGCCCTGACCACCTGATCGCCTCTTGGCTACCCTGCTTGAATCCTACAGCTCATTGTCCCGCTTCTGCCAAGGGATCCCCCCCTCCCCGTGTGTGGCCCCTTTATGTCCCCTGACCGACTCCACTTCAGATCCTGAGACATGGCCAGTGCAGAGTGTGGATCTAGGAGTCTGGAATTCTGTCATCACTGCCAGTGACATGCACAAGTGTTCAGCTGCTGTGATCTTATCAAAATCGGGGGAATTTAAAACAAACTAATGCTTACCTTGGAGAAAAACCAATACAAAACCCTGCCCTGCACAAGTCCACCCCCCTGTGTAAAGGATATGAGCTCTGAGGATGGGTTTCAGCATCTGGGGACAGAATGAAAGCAGAAGGGAACAGAGGTGCTGAGGGGTCAGGCCTACAAGCTGTGGGGCTTGTACTGTCTGACTCAGATGAATGAGACCCAGGGAATAGAACGAGAAGTAGGCGCATGTTCATAATATTTGTGCACATTTGGCTTTTTTGGTGCTGCATCTAACATCCCATTGTGAAGCGTTGAGGAGAATAGGGACTGAGCTCTCGCATCTGCCTGTTTCCCAATCTACCTAGCATGAGAAATTTTAGAAATTGTTTCGCAAAAGGAGTGTCTTTGCCCCAGAAACACATGCTCACACTTTCCACAATCACAAAGTAGCTGTTTGTTCTCAGCTTGCTCCTGATCACAGGTGACTGAAATTAGCTGAATTTCTCTTGGAAGAAAACACACACACACACACACACACACACACACACACACACACACACACACACACACACACACACACACACACACACACACACACACAAATCCAGCAATCAGGCTTCAATGAAGAGATAAGTGCTGCTAGCCTGGACAGTCCCAAGTGACAGTTCCGAATGGACAGAGAAATACATCACACCGTGTATGCTGCTTAATTTGATGACATGCGTTTTTACTTAGAGCTCATGGTCTAATGCCTTTCCTTGGGGTACCTTCTTAACATCTTCAAGAATGAAAGAAAAAGTCATATGATACTGAATGTAGGATGAGGATTGTCTCCAGTAACAAACCCGTGTCAAAAGAAAGCTAGAGTGTTAGGAGGGAGCCTCCCAGGTCATTTTTCCTAAAACAAACAGAAACGTGCAATGCTAAAGTGAAATAGAGCCTGCATCCCACGGCTTGGTTTACATGCTTGTTTTGAGCCACCTTGAGAGCAGTCACCCACTTTGCCTTCCCTGTTTACCCTTTAAAAGTCAAGGCAACACTGTATACCTGCTAATCTGCTGGAAGCCCCATGATAGGAATTTCCTTTCTATATTCTTCAGAGAGGTCTGGGTGATGAAGCAGTGTGAAAAGGATTAGGATAATGTTTTTTTGTTTAAAAAGCCTTATAAGGATATGTCTAAAATAATCAGGGATGCTAAAAGACATTTGTCTTTTTTAACAATTCCACCCACTCTTAATAGGATGCAGTGTAATGTCACAATGGTGGGAGCCTACCCTCTTAAGAAAGTGTTTGCTTTAGAATAAATATCCTCTCCAGGCTTGCAGCCTTGGAGCAAGGGGATTGTGCCACATATGCTTTTTAGAAGATGACTGAAATGGCAGGTGTTGGGGAGCAGTGCAGGGGAGGGAGGCTGAGGAATTATCTGATAGGGCAGCAGTATGGCTGGGAGGGGGAGGATTGCCTTCAGAATAACCTTGGCTGGGATGCAAAAAATAGGATGAGGCTGAAAGTATCCAGACTGGTTTTGAGATAGGCAGAGGATTGTGCAGTGGAGTCTGATGTTGTGGAGAGTGGGTGAGATGGAGAGACTTCATTTCCCTGTAGCCGAAGCCTTTGTCATAAAAGGAGGGACAATAAGCCAACTGGCCATGTGGTTGGAGAAAGAGCCTTGTAGGAAGTGACCCAGGAGGTTGGGAGGAGGACCAAGAGGATGCCACCTTCGCCATTTGGAGCAAGAAATGGCAGGATAGAATACTTGTGTATCTACAATGCATTAAGATGCAGTCTTTTCAAGTTACGTTATTTTGTGCACAATTAGGAGTGAAAACAAACTAAAATGAAAACAAAGTGGTGTTTTTACACGTACAATTCTTGAGGACCTGGAGGCTTATTGGATTGCTTTTTAGATGTATACCAATCAATGATTCTATGAGACAGCTCCTTAAGGTGGGGTAGAAGAATGTGGATTCTGTGAGTGAGACATTTTCAATATGATACCTTCCAGGATTGTCATCACTTTAAGTGAAAGCCAAAATACTCCGAAGGTCAATTCCTAAATGCCAAGTCTTAAATACTGCTTTCCAGGCACGCAGAGACCCTTGCTCATTTTCCATTCGGACAAAGAAATCTGAACTGAGTTTCCTTTTGCAAAGAGGGCAAGTTATGTGAGGATACTTCTAAAAGTTTGAAAAATACAATTAAAAGATTCGTTTTGGGTACAAAACACTTGAAATCAATGCATAAGAGGGGGATCTTCAAGATGTTCATGAAAAATGCATACTATGAAAGAAGTATGCAGATATAAAAATTTTCACACCAAAATGAGCTCCTGTCTTTATTTCATTCCTCCCCCCCACCCACAAACGTTTTGAAGTACCTTTGTATAGAACAACCGTAGCATCAGGCATAAGGTGCTGCAATGTTATTTTGAATTTCAGTATTGGAGTGTAACTGATACAAAGGAAAAAAACCAAGAGGGCAGTTTTGGGAAGTTTGTCAGTGTTTGAGTACATTTTGTATAGCTTTGTCTTTTAAAGTAACTGAGATAATTTTAACCAGACTGTTACTAAAATCACCAAAAAATGTGGTGCTGCTCACATTAAGAGAATGCTAACCATTACAAGGACTTCCTCAGGCCAAGTTTTCAGCTTGTGTCCTGCGGACTAGCTTATGGCTCAGCATCCCCGGGGTGGGGGGGGTGTTAAGATGGTAAATTCTTGGGTCCTGCTTCTGGGATTGGTTCCAAAGTGCCTGGGTTTTCACAAAAGCTCCAAGGGATTCTGTTACTTGTTGAAGTCTGAGACTCATTATCTAGACAGTTCTTTCATGTGAGATATTTACAAAGGTGAGAAAGAAAAAAGAGCGAGTGTATTTCTTACATAGTCATGGTTTCTTGCATAAAATATTGTGTTGAAGACAAAATGACATCTTCGGTAATAAAATACCGGAAAACTTGTCAGAACGCTGTACTTATCATGCGGTTATTTCGCTGATGTTTCTTGAAGATTTAGAAAAATTTGGCTGACTTCTTAAGCAGCAGTTGTGAATTCCTGGGTTAAAATCACCCATGAGTTTACTGTTCAGATTTGTGATGCTTCCTGTTCCTCGCCTGATGGTTTTAGCTGTCCTGAAATTAGGCCGGTATCCTTTAATATTGACTGTAATTACTAATCCTGAGCTTGCCGTTATATTTTCAGTGAATGGAGGTGTAAACACTTTCTGAAAAACACATCTGTGCTGAGAGCACTTTGGAGAAGTTTTTTCAGAATGGCATTATCTCTGATCTTCCCAGGTGCTGGAAGAGAGATAAGCCCCAGTTCAATGTCTCCACGGAAACTGGGCAAGGGGAGGGAGGGTGGTAGTACATTTAGGCGGACTGGTACAAAGCTATCAAAAGAAACCAGCCTGCGTTTGTGGTCCACACACTTAGCATCTACTCCCCACCCCCAGACAGAACAGCAATTAGATTAAGATTCTAAGTCCCCTTGTTTGTATGATTGCAGAGTTTAGAATTGGAAAAAATTGAGTTCACAAAAGAAAAACAGAAGAAAAATATTACAGAAAGGTAAAAGAAAATGAGGGAACATCTGCTACATATTACTAGCTAAGTAAACAGATGGTATTAAATATGAAAGTATAATAGTTGAACGGATTTTTAGTCCAGTTTGGACGGTTATGCTTATTTGAAATTTACACACTGAATACTACCTTATCATTACAGACTTGTAGAAGAATGCAGATGTATGGGAAGAGAAGGTATGACATTTGATATATAGAATGATTTATATATGATAATAATAATTATCATATATAATAATTTATATATGATAATGTTATATAGAATGGATTTTGAATTTCAGATTAGTTGCTATTCATTTGGTCGTTAGGAAAAAAAAAAAGATCATATTCATCTGAAAAATACTCCAAGAAGTGGAAAGAAAATTACATGACTCAGAATAGGAGCAGACTTTTCTTATCTGTCCAAGCTATGTGACGCTGCCTCGGGACGTTGTTGTTTGTTCATTTATATCACACATGACGCCGTGTGGAAAGCAGGGTACTGCTTTTTTGCTTGCCGTCTTCTGCTCACACAGGCAACTGCTCCTCTTAGAGTGGATGCAGAGATGTTTTTCTTCTACCTCAAGTGCCCTCTAGCGTGCAGTATCTGTGCAGGTTGCTGTATAGAAGGAGGGGATAGAAAAAGGGAAGAGGAATATTCCAGCAACTGCTATCCTAATTTCCAAATTGCTCTGCTTCTCTCCCCTCCTTCCTCAGAGGGGTCATTTCCACATAAGCGTTTGGCAAAACAGAAAAAAAGTGCTGTTGCTTTTGCATGAAAAACAAATCACTCATTTACTAAACTGGGAAACAAATGCTAATCCTTTCTTAGGGGTTTCTTTTGAACATTCATCATAATTTTTTCTGAAGCTGCATACAGTCTGGTAATCAGACA